CATCTTTCCTCTGCTCCACTGTCATATTAGGAAATTCAACGACAGGAGATTGAGCAATTCCAGAGGTGTTCTCCTGCGGGATAGGAAAACCAACTGATTCTGGAATTATCCTCTTTCGACCATCAGGCCTTCTGTACTCTCTTTGCTTCACGGGACTTGACAAGCGTGTAGAAGCTGCGGGTTTAGCTAAACTATCACTGTTAACTCCTTCAGTCTTTTTCCCATTATCAGATTTTGGTTTGGGAACAATCACCACACTACCCAAATCAACAGAAGATTTTGACGTTGCTTGAACTTGTGGAAGATCCGTAGTTAGTTTTTTGCTTGAAGTTTGCTTTGCAGCTGTTGCTTCAAGCAATAGTTGTGCTGGACTTTCAGCTAAATTTGCTTGTCGACCTCTAACATCACCATAGCGGCTTCTCTTCAACTCCTCTAATTCAGCATCAGAAAGCTGATGACCTAGTTCTTTCTCATCAAAATGGAAAGTGGCTACACTTCCATCCAAAGAACATGCAAACAGTGAATATCCATCAGGGCTCCTGCACAGAGAAAATTATATCCTGAAAGAAAGCCAAAAAGAACAAAGACAATTCAAGATGGAAAATGTCTTTACTGTTGTGAAAAGACCAACATTTATGATGCTATGAGCTAACTTGCCATGATAAATCCACAACACTTTGAGCAAAGAAATGCTTGGCAACAAAAAGAGGACGTGGACTCGCTGTAGTCCACACAGTTATGGTGCGATCTTGACTTCCTATAGCAATAACATTGTAGGGTTGGGACTCTTTTCCTCCACTTTTTGAAGAACCATTTGACCATCCAAGAGAAGCATTTTTCACTTCCTGAGCATTAGCTGAATTCCTCCGAAACATAGAATGATTGAACTTAACGACAATAATAGGAGCATTGTGTCCTAAGAAGTCAAAGGTGGCAGACCATTCCCCTCTCTCCAGAACAGGAGCAGAATGCCTAGGCTTTTGAAAACCATGAGTAGTAGTTATATAGTGTCCACAGGGTGACCATCCAAGCCGCCTAAAGAAGGTCGACCCAAGCTGAAAAAAAGACACAATTGTTAGGATATAGGTTTCAGTAAGGAAAATAAAATAAAATTTAAGAGTATAGGAAACTCACAGATTTTGCCCAGTGACCTTCCGTTCTATGAGCAAGGCTCCAGTCACTTGTTCGCCAAATGATGACAGTCTTATCATCTGATTGACTAGCTATAAATGAACCAATTGGATCCCAGGTGACACCTTTAACAAGACTAGAGTGACCCCTCAGAACAGCAGAGCATATACCATTGCTCATATTCCAGATATGGATGGTGTTGTCCATACTACCACTAGCCAATGTCGAGTCGTCTGGAGACCAATTTAGATCCACCTACTTTAAACATGGAAAGAGCAACCTATTGGTTAGAAAGTACATGGTTGGACCATATAGGCATCTATTCAGAAGCATATATGAATTCAAATGATTTCAAGGTCCACTGAATGACAAAGTTCTCAGATTTTACTCACAATCAGAGCCAAAGGATAGGAGATAAAGAAAGAGGTTTGTCAAAAACTAATATGATTTTAACACCCAAGGGTGTGGCCAAGTGGTCAATGAAGTAGGTTCAGCACCATGATGAGGTTCAAATCCAAACACTAGGTGTTTAGGAGGTGGCGGGAATTGTGTGGAAATAGTCAAGATGCATGCATGCACGGCCAGACACCACGGTTATCAAAAAAGAAATCATTTGCATGGCAAGCAAATTAGCTATTTAGAAGCTAAAAGATCAGTCTCATTACCACATCCGCAGTGTGTCCTCTCAATGTCATGGTAACTTTCCAGTTCTCTACATCAGGAGGCTCTCCACTGCCAAACTCTGTGGTTCCCGAGCCAGGTTTCCTCTCATGGACTTGAATCACCTGGTCATCGGATCCAGAAGCAACATACCGACCATGTTTTGCCCATCTAACACAGTTAACTGACCCAAAATGATCACGTAGTGTGGCAAGAAGTTTTGGTGTAGATTCATCTGCTTCCAAGTCCTTACCCACACATTTCATGTTCCATATCCGAACCTGAAGACACGTTAAATGCACATAATGCAAAGTACTTTGTTAATAACAGTATACTGCAGTAATGCAGAAAACATATATGAGTATCAAGATAGAATCTTCTCACTCTAACAAGCAAAACTAAGTTGAGAAAATAAACCATACAGAAGCAAAAAATGCCTTCACAGAGGATCAGAAGTGATACCAAAAGCTAGATATTTAACTAATTTGCACATTTTCCCTGTAAGAAAACTAATCCAAAAATCTTTAATGAAATGGCATTTCTTACAAGGACAAACATACTTTAAACTCCCACCACTTGAGAATCTTGATCACACAGATATAGCATACTCTCAATCTTCATTTCACTATTAAAAAAAACCAAAATAACCTTACAGCTTCCAAAGAAACAACAATTTGTTAGTGCTCCACTAAATCATGAACTAATTGAATTCATAACCAACTTCAATTGTTCAGGTTCCAAAATCCACGAACAACTAGAAATGTCCATCAACAACAACAACAACATACCACACAGTGTAATCCCACAAGTGGGGTCTAGCGAGGGTAGACTGTACGCAGACCTTACCCCTGCCTTGGGAGGTAGAGAGGTTGTTTCAGATAGATCCTCAGCTCATGGAAAAGCATATCAAAGCAGAACAAAAGAAATAACTGAAGTGAAGTGCTCATGGAAAAATACTATAGAAAGCATGATAAAGCGCCCTCTTTTAAAAGGAACAATAAATGAACCATAGAAGTGCGATAATCGAAGTACACTAGACAGTAGATAGTAACAGAAACCATGTTCATCAACTAGTTAAAACTATTAGTTCACAGCTCCCAAAATATTTAACTAAATTTTCCCTACACCAACCTATGAATAGCTAAAAAGTTAATAAAGGCAAACAAAAAACAATGACAAAGCAGTTACCTTATGATCACCACCACCAGTGGCAAACCTAAGGCCACCTGGCTGAATATCAATGGAGAAAATCTGCATACTCTCATGTCTAATCCAAGTAGGTTTCTCAGCAATCATCTTTCACAATTCTGAAATTCTTGATTTCTTTGCTGCTAAACCCCAAAGACTCCACCTTTTTCACTCTAAACCCAAAACACAAAAACCCCACAACTTCAAAATTAACATACCAACCACTAAAAAATAAAAAACCCCAAAATCAAACACAACAAAAAAAATTACCCCCACAAGAAAAAAAAGAAAGTAAAGAGATAAAACCCTAGTTGAGAAAAACCAAAAAAAGGGAAAAGACCCAAAAAGGAGTAAAATTTGGAGAAAAAAAATAATCTTGATTTATTCAGTTTCAAAAAAAAAAAACCCTAGATTTTGAAAGTAAATGGTGAAGTGGGGTTGAAGTTTTATCAAGAAAAAAGAAAGATTTAATGCAAAATTTAATGGTTTTGCTAACTGTCAAAGCTAATAAAAAGATTAAAGAGTGAAAAAAAAGTAGAAGAATATAACAAAGGGGAATCTATTCAAGTTTTGTGACACAAAAAAAAAAAAAAACAGAAGAGAAAAGAAGTGAAGTGTTGTGTACCAGGTATTTTTGTAGGGTAAAATAAAATTGAGAGAAGACAAAGAGGCACACATAAAGTAATGTTTTTTTTTTGTTAAACATGTAAGATTTGTAATGTTTAAGTAGCGGTATTGTGAACATAAAGTTATGGGACAATTTTTTTTTTTAATTATGATGATGTTCGAGTCAGTTTACGTATAGGAATACTTCTATAATATTATTTGTTGATATTTGGTAAATTAATAATTTTCTAAGATAATATTTATGATATTTTTTAAATGAGAAGTTATTTTTTGATATGATTTTAAGGAATTTTCTATATAGTTTATTCTCTCACCGTTATATATAGAATGTTTTTAGTAAAGATACAATGAATAATATTTGATCATTAAAAATCAATGAATAATTGAATTCTTGAATTTATTTTACAATGAATTATTTAATAAAAATATATATTACAATGAATCATACACATACAATATACTTTTTATATAATTCAATAATATGATATATAATTTAGTAATATACAATGATTTTGATGTATTCATTGTACTTTATATATGATAAATTATTATTTTTATATGTGAATTCAATAAAATAATACATAAATTAGTAAGGTACAATAATTTTGATGTAATCAAAACTCAAAATTAATCTTCATTGAATCTCAAAACACTCTTTAAATTAATAAATATTAATTTATTGATTAAATAATACCTCTACAAAGTAATAATATTTCATGATCCCGTCTATATTAATTAGTAAGATTTTTACTTTAATATATTTGAATTAACATGTAATTTTAAAAAAAACAATCTAGTAATTTTAAATTAAATACATGTTAATAAATCGAAATACCCTTTAAATTCTATAACATTCAATATATCAATATGACATTGAAATTAAACAAAAAAAGTCACTGCATATATAAAGTGATGGTGCTTTATTAGGGAGGTTTTATTACTCAATGTAAGATTTTTGAAAATCACCAAGATTAATAAGCAAAAGGAAATAAATATAAACAAAGTAAATAAAAAAATTACAAAATTTTAAAAGGCACACTAAGCAGTCCATAACAAAAAACTCAACTAACAAAACCGAACCGAAATAACATAAATCGAACCGAAATACCAAATGTCCAATCCTATCAAGATAGTGGTAGAATTGTTTCACCCTTAATAAAAGGTTTCGAGTTCGAATTTTAGATATGGAAAAAATCTTATTGAGAGCGCTACCTCAAATTGGTCATGCAGTGCGTGATTCGAATTTAGTCAGGGCTTCAATGTAAGTTTTTTGAAAATCAAAATTTAGTCAAACTTTAATAAGCGGACACAAAAAATTATATTTTAAAAAAAATATTAGTACTACTGCTACTTAAATTTCAGTTTCCAACTGTTCCAACTGTAAAGGCAAACGAACTGGCAATGATTCTAAGGCCGTGTTTGGAAAAAGTAAGGCCTTTGCTGCATTTCAAGAATCCATTGAACACCCATTGTTGTTCTCATTCATTCGCCATTGATTTCGAAGAAGAAGCTCAAACCAAGTCTTTTGAATCTTCAAATTATCTCCCTGCACACCAAGTGTTTGATGAAAAGTCTCAGAAAGTTTCTTTGAACAATCACTTGCTATTTGAGTACTCCCGGAATAGTTTCAATGTAGAAGCTCTGAATCTGTTTGTGGGTATTCATCGTAATGGATTTTCGATTGATGGGTTGAGTCTTTCTTGTATATTAAAGGTCTCTGCTTGTCTGTTTGATTTGTTTTTTGGTAAACAAGTGCATACTCTTTGTGTTAAATCTGGTTACTTTGACAATGTTAGTGTTGGGACTTCACTTGTTGACATGTATATGAAAATGGAGAATGTTGATGATGGTCAGAAAATGTTTGATGAAATGGAGGATAACAAGAATGTTGTGACTTGGACTTCGTTGCTTTCGGGTTATTCGTGTAATAAGTTGGTTGATAGAGCGTTAGAAGTGTTTCGTGTAATGTTAGTTGGAGGAGTTAAACCTAATGAGTTTACTTTCGCGACAGTTCTTGGAGTTTTGGCTGATAAATTTGTAGTTGAAAAAGGGATTCAAGTGCATAGTATGGTTATCAAGTGTGGTTTTGAGGCGACAACATCTGTTGGGAATTCTTTGATTAATATGTATTTGAAATCTGGGATGGTTAGAGAAGCTACAGCTGTATTTGAGGGTATGGGAGATAGGAATGAAGTATCTTGGAATGGTATGATAGCTGGTCTGGTGACTAATGGGCTTTATTCCGAAGCACTTAAGTTGTTCCACATGATGAGACTTGCAGGTGTGGAACTGACACGATCGATTTATGTTACAGCTGTTAAATTATGTACTAAACTTAAAGAATTGGTTTTTGCAAGACAACTTCATGGTCGAGTTATGAAGAACGGGTTCTATTTTGACAATAATATCAGAACAGCACTCATGGTCTCTTATACTAAGTGTGGAGAGATGGACGATGCCTTCAAGTTATTCTCTATAATGCATAAATTCAGGAATGTGGTTTCTTGGACCGCAATGATTGGCGGGTATATGCAGAATAACAGACAAGAGCAAGCGGCGAATCTCTTTTGCCAAATGAAAAAGGATGGGATAAGGCCAAACGATTTCACTTATTCAACTATTCTTGCAGCTCATCCATCTATTTCGCTGTTCCAAGTACATGCAGAAGTCATCAAGACTGAGTACCAGAGCTCACCTACCGTCGGAACTGCATTATTAGACGCCTATGTGAAAACAGGAGATACTGATGAGGCTGTGAAAGTTTTTGAAGAGATTGATGAGAAGGACATTATTGCATGGTCTGCTATGTTATCTGGTTATGCGCAAAAAGGAGACATTCAAGGTGCTGTCAGAGTCTTCCGGCAACTAGTCAAAGATGGGGTCAGGCCAAATGAGTTTACCTTCTCCAGTGTCATCAATGCGTGTGTTACTTCCATGGCATCAGTGGAGCAAGGAAAACAATTTCATTGTAGCGCGATCAAATCAGGTCACAGTAATGCCTTATGTGTGAGCAGTGCATTGGTAACTATGTATGCTAAGAGAGGAAACATAGAAAGTGCAAATGAGATTTTCAAGAGACAACCAGAAAGAGACTTAGTTTCATGGAATTCAATGATATCAGGATATGCCCAACATGGTTATGGAAGAAAAGCTCTAAAGATATTCGAGGAAATGCGGAAAAGGAATTTGGATATGGACAATATAACGTTCATTGGAGTTATCTCTGCTTGTACTCATGCTGGACTGCTAAATGAAGGTCAAAAATATTTTGAGATGATGGTAAACGGCTTTCATATTTCACCAAAAATGGAGATATACTCTTGCATGGTAGACTTGTATAGCCGAGCTGGAATGCTGGATAAAGCCATGGCTCTTATCAATAAAATGCCATTTCCTGCTGGTGCAATTGTGTGGCGTACTCTTCTGGCAGCAAGTCGAGTTCATCGCAATGTAGAGATGGGGAAACTGGCGGCCGAGAATCTCATTTCTCTTCAGCCTCAGGACTCAGCTGCATATGTCCTTCTATCCAATCTCTATGCTGCAACGGGAGATTGGCAAGAAAGAGCGAAAGTAAGGAAACTAATGGATGTGAGAAAAGTTAAAAAAGAGATTGGGTATAGCTGGATTGAGGTTAAGAATAAGACCTACTCATTCATGGCAGGTGATGTTTCGCATCCCCTATCTGACAGTATATACATGAAACTGGAAGAGTTACGTGGCCGATTGAAGGATGCAGGATATCAACCGGATACAAATTATGTTCTTCATGATGTGGAAGATGAACATAAAGAAGCCATTCTTTCTCGGCACAGTGAAAGGTTAGCTATTGCTTTTGGATTGATTGCCACGCCTCCAGGAATTCCCATTCAGATTGTGAAGAATCTCAGAGTTTGTGGCGACTGTCACACTGTTATTAAATTAATATCAAAGATAGAAGGAAGGCAAATAGTCGTCAGGGATTCAAATAGATTCCATCACTTTAAAGGAGGTTTATGTTCTTGCGGTGATTATTGGTGAATTCAAGCTCTTCGAATAGACGAAGAGATAGCAGCATATCACAGTTGGTTCCTGTATAAGCAAAGGCACCATTAGCTAATGGAGCTTTAGCTTACAGGCCTATACCCGAAGTTGCATCAATTATCAGCCTCCAGATAATACTATTTCTAATGGTTGTTTTGTTCATGGATTCAAACTTTGATAGTGCACAGTCTAGAGGAAGAAACAGAGAATTTTCCAACTTCACATATCTGCCGATTCAAGTTATTTTATTTATGGACTGAGGGATAGAAATGCTGTCATTTTGGCTGATTTTTAAGAGCAGTTGACAGATCACGATCTGCCTTACAGAAAACAATCAGAAACTCAGAAGAATTAATTTGAGTGGAGGTTTAGTTTTTTCCTGAAGATAAAGAGAGTCAGAGCCTCTTGTCAATTACCAAGACTCAAAGTATGTCTTCTGGTATTTTGTTCAACATGGTTTTTCTGGTCTTGCTGCTCGTAATGCTGTATTCGGTAGGAAAGGTGATCTTGCAACAACGATGATGACCAACAAGCAGCTCTTTCTGATTATGTTTTCATTTGAACCTAACCTTGAGCATGTCAAACTCATGAAGGATGTGGAAATGTTCGGAGTCCAGGAAGGACCATTCAGTAACGCCTTTTGACAACAGCTGACACTTCGGAGATTCCCTGCTACCCCATAATAACCTCTTCCAGAAAATCTATATTCAGATACAGGGTAGAACCATTAACTGTGTTTATGCATTGCTACATTACTGAAGTTTATCCAACTGATGAGTCGATTCTATATCGACTCAATGAGTTGAAACATCTCAGGTTTTTCCTCATATTTCATAAAAAATGATGAATTCCTCACTGTTTTCTTCTTATGTTGTAGGGATTGGTAACATGAACCTGCAGACTCAATTGATGATGAGGAAGTAGCTGCAAAGACTAGGAAAAAGAAACTGGAATAGCAGATGCCTAGCACATATTCGCCAAGCTTTTGCTTCTGCTGACTTGTTGGGCCTATGGATCAGACTTGAAATCAAAGAGAGGCTGCACATATGTGCTAGATTTTCCACAAATATGCATCCATGGTCAACCTTATTGTCTTGAAATTGTTAGGTTCTTGTTTTGTGAGGATTCTGTAGGGAGCTCTGTGAAAGGAGGCCTCTAGTATGTCCATGATGTTCAGGCCAGCCTGCGTGCACCTCGACTAATTCCACAGTGGTACTTTCTACTTTCGAACAACATAGGTACCGGGAAACTCTGTCCACCAACTTTTGTGTGGACAACAACAGACAAAATGGTTCTTGGCGAGACAAGAGTTTTAACCATAGAATTGTCTTCTTTCTCTCTTTTTTGCCTTTTAGTTTCGAGGTATTTAGGAGTTCTAAAATGGTCTTAATTCCTACCATGTGCTAAATTCACTCTCTGGTGTGATGATGGATCTTATTGTGCAGCTTGGATTATTTTTTCTGTCATTCTTGATTCCTATGAATGATGAATGAGTTGTTTACTCAATCCTGTATTTCAATTACATTTTTGAACTGACACTTGGGATTGATTTGCATTTATGGAAATCTGAAATGATTAGATCAGTTTGATTTGTGTATAAGATACACATTTCTTCATGTTATTTATACCAATAACTAGCGTATTGATAAGTGTTCTTGGAGTAGTTGGTCCTGCCCTTAGCCTAAGTGCCTATGATTTCATTTTTAAGGCAATTTTGCTTAACTTGATCTTTAGTAAGTTTATCTACACAACATTTGGTGACGCCTTATCTGGGGTGGTATCATTTAAATCAAAGTCCCTCTCTGGGGCCATCTCGTTTAATCGAAGTCAACTGACTCATAATAGTGAAAATTGGCACACACGCGTCAGATCCATTAGAAGATGAAGCTTGCACCAGTCATGAACTTTGAGTACACTTGTGTTTTACTTTGAGTTATCACCTTGAGGTAACTTCAGAAGGTAAGTAGGAATGCTCATGAAATGATTACAAAGTAATTGCAATTAGCATTGTAAAAGGAATAATACAACAAAGATACTAGCAAAATGTTCTGTCTTGACATTGATAAATACATGCAAAGCTAAAACTAATACAATCCAAGAAGGTAAACAATGTCAACCTCCCATTTGGAGAGCCTTTGAATATCACGAATTTTTCAGACAAGTAGAAGGGAGAAAGAATACAAATCATGGCAACTCCAGGTGTAGTAGTTATCGGAGATACATCAATCTCTTCAACCTTCTTCTCCAAATTCCTTTGTGAATCTGTCGTGCACTTCAAGGTCAGATTTACTAACTGTTGGCCTTTGACGAGCAAGAACCTTATCAAAGTCTGTCTTTGTAATGGGTGGCGGGATGATCTGCAAGGGCATTAATCAGCAAGCTGTTTATAACTAGTCCCGGCAGATAAGAAGACAGTTTATGTAAAGCCATATCAGAACTTCAGACTAAAATATTACTAGGTAATTTTTATCTTGAGCAGAGGATCTATCGGAAACAACCCCTCTCTACCTAACAAGGGTAGGGTAAGGACTGCGTATACTCTACATTCCTCATACCCTACTTGTGGGAGCACACTGGGTCTGTTGTCGTTGTTGTTAATTCTAATATCAGCTATTCAGAATTGACACATAGGAAGATGTAGTTCATTAAAAGCACAATCTCTTCTTACATTTTAGTTCAACAAAATCATATGATACGCAGACCTTTATGCTAGAATCACATTTAATTACTGTATTACTAGTGACTCGAAAGAAGTCAAATTTCCAGACATGTGCAGTCGTACTCCCCGGCCCCAATATATTCCAGCTAAAACTCATAAAACTTTTTTTTTTTGAGAAAGGTAAAGTTGCAGCCAAATAAAAAACTACTTATTGCAGTGATCTCAAACTATAAATGTATCCCGAATATCTACCTGGGATGCGAGTCCTTTAGCAGCAAGCTCCTGCATAGTTGTCTGCACAGCACCCCGTTGCTTCGGTCCGCATGGAATCCAGGTACCATTAGAAGTTTGAGTAAAGAACACAGCATCTTGTGTCTTACGTACGGGTTCAAATAGCACGTCCTTGACCTGTCCAAGAAGAAAAAGTATAAATATATTAGGAGAACATTGAGGAATTGCCGCCTTTGTTACCTTCAGTACAAACCAGACAAAAACATGTTGGGCATCAAGGCAAATTCATTAAGGTCCAGACTTACACAAACAGAAACATCTGAACCAGAAAAACCTTCTGTCTTACGGGCCAGGTCTTCAAAGTCACTCTCGCTCAAGTTATGGGGGGTATCACCTAAATGAACCTGCACGTGTAACAAGCCAATCTAAATAAATCTAGCTCTCACAAATCGACTTGCAATATATTTCCTTGAACTTCACTTTCCAAGAAAAATCACAGAACAGAATTTTACTTTGAACATTTTTTTTTTTTTGATGAAGTAGTTTCATTTAAAAACGGGATTTACTTTGAACATGTGTTGCCGTGCCTTCAAATCAGGGAGCGGAATGTAGATACGCTTGTCAAATCTTCGCCGTATAGCCTGTAGAGGACAATTTCCGTCAGCAATGAATTTCAAAGATAAACAACTTTTTACTGCAAATCATTCTTCACCTGATCTAGGGCATAGGGTGTGTTTGTCGCCGCAAGTACAAGAACTTTATCATCATTGTGTCCAACACCCTGAAAAACAAATTAAGAGAAAAATATCTTTAGCCAGGGGGATTTCTCTTCCTCCATAGCCATGATACATCAATTACCTGCATCTGCACAAGGAGTTCTGTTTTAATACGTCGAGAAGCTTCACTTTCATTTCCTTCTCCTCGCTGCCCACACAAGGAATCAATTTCATCAACAAATATGATGGAAGGAGCGCTTTCACGAGCCATTTGGAAGAGGTTTGAAACTAGTTTTTCACTTTCACCCATCCACTTGGATACAAGGTCTGATGACGAGACGCTGCACGAAAATAGCAGTTGGCACTCGCCAACTTTACAGCGTAAGCTCTTGAAAAGGGGAAACTGAGAAAATAACTGACAAAGAACAGATACACAGCGACTATATTCATGCAAGCAATTCATGTTTATATCCCTCCATCAAGATGATTATGTGCAAGTTTAAAAGAGAAATTAGATAGTGCAAATGGAAGATATATTACCACTGAGAACTGCAGAGATTTCACGGAATACTTGCAGGTATAGAATCATTCAAGGAATCAGGAATCTTGACATGGCCCGCAAAATGGAAGCCGAGTATATTAAAATTTCAGGAAAAGGGTCATTGTACTGTGTACATATTATATTTTGCTTCTAGAAAGGCATCAATCCAATAATTTCACATGCTATAGCTTGGTTGTCTCTATTCAGGAGATGTTAGGCATCCCAATAACCCCCACAATGGCTCATTGGTCATCCCCTTATGCTAGACTATAGTCTTCACATCCTGAATACTTCCTAAGATGCACATGCAAAGACATTTATATTATGACTTAAGGGTGGATGTGTACCTCTATGGCACGGCTGCTCTATAGAATTGGTACCAAATCAAAACATTCAACACCCTTGGATACCAGACTATATTTATCAACCAATTCCAACATCACATTCTGTCCTAGATGTATAGATCTGCAAGTGACACACCACCGAGGGGGACAACCCAGATATGACATTTCTGGAGGAAAAGAACCTCATGGGAAGTAGATATCCAAAAGAACCATAAAGTCTTAACAAAAATAAAGCTAATATAAATACTACTCCCTCCATTTCAAATTAATTGAATTGTTGAGACATTTTTCATTTTTCAATTTACTTAATTGTTCAATTTTCAAGACTACTTTTAGAATTTTCTTCCAATTTTACCCTTCATTAGTTAGCATTGGAATTAGTTATTAATTAGTCTTAAGTTATTTTAATCATAAATTTGACAATAATTAATAAGGGTAAAAATGGAATGTTATGCCTAATTTATGTCTTAATCTTCTTTTCTTAAAGGGTGTGAAACATCTCAACAATTTAATTAATTTGAAATGGAGGGAGTATAATTTATGAGCAGACAATCATTTCCCACAACAAATAAGGAGCAACACCCACGAAACTACAAGACCCTTAATTCATGGATATTGGATCATGACCAAGATGGTAAATTAGCAGGAGTTAATTAAGATTCAAACAAAACAAAAACATTCTGAACGTACTGAGCATATAAAGAGGCTTACATCAGCCAACTCCATGCAAAGGCACAAGCACCATCCCACACTCCAAGAAGGAAAACAAAGGCAATGTAAAAGACTCCTAGTCGACTTGGATATTGAACCACATTCTGTATTTAGTGGTTGAGCACTTTAAGTTCCTTACTACTACTGATTCTTGACTCAAGCACCAAATTACATCAAAATATCATTCATGCAAAGAGGAAAATCAACAAAAGAATATGAGAAAGGAAGGTCATAAAAACTATAAAGATAACAAATTATGAGAAAGGAAGGCCAAAAAAAAAACTATAAAGGAAATTAAATAAGAACCTAACAAGCAAATGGTACATCTTCTCCCCCGACTTCTTATTGGTATTCTGAGATTTTCCTTTATAATCTTTAGGGCTGCTAAGCAGATCCTCATTTTGCTCAAGATCTTTTTTTCTTCACGAATGACAGATGATATGATGTACAAAATTTGCAATTTAAATACAGCCTTTGGTATTTACAAAATAAAAGCTGCAGTGAATCAGGAAATATCTGAAGTTGATAGCTTCTATTTGCTGTAAAATGGACAACATTATCAACAAACACACTTGCATGTAGGAAGACAAATACCTAAAAAAAGTGGATTCTGCTTCAGTAGCAACAGCTTTGGCCAAGTAAGACTTTCCTGTCCCAGGAGGACCATAAAGAAGAAAAGCTCTCCATGGTCGCCTCTTGCCTGTAGGTACATGAGAAAGGAGAAAAAAACACTCAAACTGTTGTGAACAAAAGCACCCAAAAGATTGCTCAAGTTATGTCATGCACACGTTGCAAAACCACTCAACCATCTCTAATATAACACAAAGAGAAAAAGAACACAATACTCACCAAGTTTTTTTTCCTTAATGATTTTTATCCCACTACAACTTTTTTGGTTGAGCTAGGAAGAGCTGTAACATGAATCCTGGACTAACTATAAAGAGAAATTCCAAAATGTGGGATTTACTCAGAGTTCACCTCTCATACTTCAAAAGAAAAAGCCAGACAACCAATTGTCTCTAATTGCTAAGCAACGCAATTAACCAATCAGTCACCCAAGTATAGAAGACCATTTGCTCAAGATCATGCAGTCACAGGCGAAGAACTTCCTCCTTCACATCGAGGCTCTTCAGGAATCTAGTCATGAGACTCCCAAAATTGTACCCAAGGCCCTTTGGCAGCCTAGCCTTCTTCATTGTAGACTTCAGCATTTTCTTTACCAAACTTCACATTTCAAAACACATGCACAGACGCGCTCACACAAATGTTGAAAGACATTTAGAATATAGAGAAGTTAACTCATCCACAGCATCACTAATAACCTAAGAACTCTTAAACATGCTCAACAAAAAACAATTCATTTTCTACTCATATTCAGCTATCTACAGACTAACCTGGCACTTTGTGGTCCCCAAATTGAAAGGGTTTAAAATGTACAATAGGTAAAGACTCAAACTTACTTCTTTCCATAAGTTAAAAACTAGAACTATTGGAACCCATGTAACCCCAATTATGACATAAGTGTCTTCTAACTAATACTCCATAGTGTTTGGTTTGCAACATAAAACTCTGTATAACTGCCTATAATTCTCACTGCATAATAAGCACTATAATCCCTTTAACGACACCTAACATCATATTGCTACTTCCTTTACCCAAAAAAAAAAACTAAGGCATACTACATAAACAGACGCTCAAACTTGGCCTCAGCTCTCAACTGGCAACTAAAGACTACAACTTGTCCCCACTATGTCTCGTGGATACCCTGCACTGATGTAGCTCATAAATTATGGAGGTGTCTAGATGATCATTTTGTAAGTTGGAGTGTTCAACGGACAGAGTGGAGATGAGTTGAAGTGTCAAGATGGAGTGCTTACTTGCTAGCTGAGGGCGTGTTTGAGTGTCTGTTTATGTATTATGCCAAAAAATAATTGTGTTTAAGCTACTTCAGAATCACAAGGAAACCATCAATCAAAGCAACAATCTTTACTAGCAAAATGCAGCAACAACACACATACACACAAAAAAAAATCCAACAAAAGCTAACACACACACACCTGTGAAGAACTGAGGGAATTTCACAGGTAAAATGACAGCTTCCTGCAACGCCTGTTTAGCACTCTCCAATCCAGCAACATCATTCCACTTCACATTAGGTTTCTCTCTAACAATTGCTGAATTAAGCCCGGCCCTTAGCTTAGACTGCTCAGGATCCTCTCCCCCATCTTCACCATCCTTAGGCTTAGTCTTAGGCTTAGCAATCACAGCTGCATCTCCTCCAATTGGACCAGGCCCACTCCCACCCTCATCCAACACAGCCCTAATCTCCTCCGCACGGCGTAAATACTCTGTAAATTTCTGGGTAATTGCCTCCTTAATCTTAGGATTCTTCTCGTACTTCAAATGGGTCTTGAAGTACTCCAATGCATTCATATACAACGGAAATGCCTTGGCATAGTTTCCACTATTGTCCTCTTGCACTGCTTGCCTTACGTAATCAATTGCTTGCTCCTTGAAATTGCTATACATCTTCGATCATATAGAAAAAAAACCCACAAAATTAACCAAGCAAATTTCAGGGTTTTGATCAGAACTCAAAAGGGTGTCCGCAAAACCACAAAACTAACCAAGAAAATTACTGGGTTTTCATCAGAACTCAAAAGGGTGTTCAAAAAAAGTTGATTTAAGAAAAAAAATCATATAAACAGTGTTCTGAGTAATGGATCTTTTTGAAGATTTTGAGCTTTTTTGGGTGGATTAGGAACCCTAAAAATTGGGGATTTTGGTTTTGATTTAAGAAAAAGATTGATTAGAGATCGAAGGTTGGATTATGGAAGAAGACATTTGAAAGAATCGTAATTTGTGAGTTTGAACGTTGAAATTTACAGGGGAAAGTGTTTTTGTTATACACCAAGGACTGCTGTTAAGGAACGGAAAAAGGTAAAAAATGTTGCTAATTAAAAATGAAATGACTCAGAAATATATCTCACTCATAACTCATACAGTTCACTTTTACTTGTTACGTATTTCTAAAATAAATTTTTATTTTACAAATTATTCAAAATAGCAAACATTTAAATTATATTAAATATTATAGCTACTATTTAAGAAAAATTTAATTCACAGCTATAGTTTCACTCAATCTTGCTATTAGTTTGATTTGTATAATTTATCTTATTTATATAACTCCAGAATTTGTACACTTTAGTTTCTGATTGTATAAAATTCAGAATTATATATATGCTTACCCTATCTGTTTTGTATACTATTTATGAAAAATCATAATAAATTACCCTATTTATATATTGGCAAGCGAAATATACAAAACGGAGTTTTGAAACTTTTCTAAATGTATAAATTCAGAATTTGTATGTACTAACCCTATTTGTGTATACAAACGGACGAAAAAATACAACCACAACCTCCATAGCTAATAAAACTATTGCTATGGGACGCAATTATCAAAACTATAGTTATAAAACCCTTATTGTGTCTAATATGTTTCCTATTTCTGAATTTTTTTGTCAATAATTGCTTTCCTTATAGGTGTGATGTGCCAAATCAAACAGTTACAAATAAAAAATGAGCGTAGAGAATATTTATTTTACTAGAAAAAATTTGGCCAAGAGCCTAACATCTTTTCAAAAAATGAAGATCAGTTCCATCTCCACTGCAGCATACCACCTTCATTCAACATATAAAAGTCAATTTTGAACATTCTATATTAGTTACTATATATTGAAATCAGAGTTAAAAGGTCAAATACACACTTGAAGTATTGGATTTTTTCTGTTGTTCTTGTTTCCTATGGAAGATGACACAGCTCGAACCAGTGACCTCCTTATCACATGACAACAACTTTACTAGTTATGCTGAGGAAGCTCCCTCGGCATACTCTAAACAAGTTGGCCCCAAGAAAATAGAGGTTACCAGCTTTGTTACTATTAGCAGCACTTGCTGACAAATTGTGAATTAAGTAATTGCAAATAGAATTGTATAAGGAATACAACAAAGAAACTAGCAAAATGTACTGTCTTGACATTGATAAATACATGCAAAGCTAAAACTAATACAATCCAAGAAGGTAAACAATGTCAATCTCACATTTGAAGAGCCTTTGAGTAACGCGAATTTTTCAGACAAGTAGGGGGAGAAAGAACACAAATCATGGCAACTCCAGGTGTAGCAGTATACATCAATCTCATCAACCTTCTTCTCCAAACTCCCTTGTGAATCTGTCATGCACTTCAAGGTCGGATTTACTAACTGTTGGCCTTTGACGAGCAAGAACCTTATCAAAGTCTGTCTTTGTAATGGGGGGTGGTATGATCTGCAAAGGCATTAATCAGCAAGATGCTTAAATAGTCCTGCCCGTTAAGAGGACAATTTATCCAAAGCCATATTAGAACTTCAGACTAAAACATTACTAGATGATTCTAATATCAGCTACTGAGACACGGGTCTGTCGCAAATAGCCTATCTACCTTCATAAGGTAGGGGTAAGGGCACTATCCTCCCCAGACCCCACTTGTGAGGATCACACTGAGTATATTACTGTTTGATTCTAATATTAGCTACTAATTCTTCCTTTTTCGGGGTAATCAAGCTATTCAGAATTGACACGTAGGCAGATGTAGTTCAGTAAAGGCACAATATCTTCTTACATTTTAGTTCAACATAACCATATGATGTGCAAACAGTAACGTTAGAATCACATTTAATTATTGCATTATTAGTGACTTGAAATAAGTCAAGTTTCCAGACATGTGCAGTAGTAGGCCCCGGCCCCAATATATTCCAGCTAAAACTCATACAAGCACAAGATTTGGCTAAGTGACCAGATTAAAAATTAATTATGGCAGTGATCTCGGAATATAAATGTATCCCAAATATCTACCTGGGATGCAAGTCCTTTAGCATCAAGCTCCTGCATAGTTGTCTGCACAGCACCCTGTTGCTTTGGTCCGCATGGTATCCAGGTACCATTAGAAGTCTGAGTAAAGAACACAGCATCTTGTGTCTTACGTACGGGTTCAAATAGCACATCCTTGACCTGTCCAAGAAGAGAAGGTATATAAATATATTAGGAGAATAAAGAGGAATTGCCCCCTTTTTTCCTTCAGTGTTTAGCAAGTTCAAGTGGATTGGTGTAGAAGAAAGGGTCTCTTCCAACTACAAACTCACAAACAACATGTTGGGCATAAAGTCAAATTCATTAGGGTCCAGACTTACACAAACAGAAACGTCTGAACCAGAAAAACCTTCTGTCTTACGGGCCAGGTCTTCAAAGTCACTCTCGCTCAAGTTATGGGGGGTATCACCTAAATGAACCTGCACGTGTAACAAGCCAATCTAAATAACTCTAGCTCTCACAAGTCGACTTGCAGTATATTTCCTTGTTGAACTTCACTTTCCAAGAAAAATCACAGAACAGGATTTACTTTGAACATGTGTTGCCGTGCCTTCAAATCTGGGAGCAGAATGTAGATACGCTTGTCAAATCTTCGCCGTATAGCCTGTAGAGGACAATTTCCGTCAGCAATAAATTTCTAAGATCCACAACTTTAAAAGTGCAGATCATTCTTCACCTGATCTAGGGCATAGGGTGTATTTGTTGCCGCAAGTACAAGAACTTTATCATCATTGTGACCAACACCCTGAAAAAACAAATTAAATAAGAAAAAGAAATCTATAGCCGGGGGGTTTCTCTTCCTCTTTTCTTTCTGATAGGTCGAAGTTGGTTATGAGAGGTCAAGGAACCACATCAGCTACGATAGATCAATTACCTGCATCTGCACAAGGAGTTCTGTTTTAATACGTCGAGAAGCTTCACTTTCGTTTCCTTCTCCTCGCTGCCCACACAAGGAATCAATTTCATCAACGAATATAATGGAGGGAGCGCTTTCACGAGCCATTTGGAAAAGGTTTGAAACTAGCTTTTCACTTTCACCCATCCACTTGGATACAAGGTCTGATGACGAGACGCTGCATGAAAATAGCAGTTGGCACTCGCCAACTTTACAGCGTAAGTTCTTGAAAATGGGAAACTGAAAAAATAGCTGACAAAGAACAGACACATGACGTCCATATTCATGCAAGCAACTCATGTTTATATGCATCCATCAAGATGGTTATGTGCAAGTTTAAAAGAGAAATCAATAGTGCAAATGGAAGATTTAGTACCACTGAGAACTGCAGAGATTAGAACATTTGCAGGTATAGGATCATTCGACTATTGAGGACGCAGGCATCTTGAAATATCCCACATAATGGCAGCAGAGAATATCAAAAAATCAGGAGAAAGGCCATTATACATATTACTTTTTGCTTCTAGAAAGACATCAGCATATTGCATGATTTCACATGCTATCCCTTGGTTTTCACAACTCAGGAAATGTTTGGCACCCCAATAACCCCCACAGGAGTCCGGTGACAGGACAGATTTTTTTGTTGTTGGCGGGGTTAGCATAAAAGAACAACTACTACAAAGCAAAAGCTCTACATGTTGACCTCCATTGGAAGTCTTTGCAACAAAACAAAACTGATGGATCCTGATTGTATAATCCTACTGAAATTTTATTATTGTAAGCTTGAAATTGTTATTGAAATTACTGCAATCACAAACAAGGCCTTAGCTGAAGGTTCAATTTGACTCTGCTCTACATCAACATATTGCATGATGTACTGGTCTGATCTTAAGATTCATGGGTTAGCATCACTTGCGTTGGCAGTAAGTGAGATGTGTCTAACAAACTGGAGATATACAAGATGATCTCATCCAGAGGTTAAAATCAGGATAATGCTGAGATGCAGAACCATAAAATCCAAAAAAAATGGCTCATTGGTCATCCCCAAATGCTAGACCTAGACTAAAGCCTTCACACCCTTAATACTTCCTAAGATGCACATGCAAAGCCATTGATATTATCACTAAGGCAGGATGTGTTCCTCTATGGCACGGCTGCTCTATATAATTGGTACCAAAACAAAACATTCAACACTCTTGGATACCAGAGTATGTTTATCAACCAATTCCAACATCACATTCTGTCCTAGATGTATAGATCTGCAAGTGATACACCACCGAGGGGGACAACCCAGATATGACATTTCTGAAGGAAAAGAACCTCATGGATAGTAGATATTCAAAAGAATCATAAAGCCTCGACAAAAATAAAGCTATTATAAATACTACTCCCTCCGTCCCAAAATAAGTGTCACCTTAGCAAAAAAAATTGTCCCAACATAAGTGTCACCTTAGGAATTCAAGACAAAATTAGTATGTTTTTCCAACTATCCTTATACTCCATCTTCTTAGTAGTGTTCAATTTTCAAGAGACATTTATGAAATAAAGTAGCTTAGTAAACTACACATTATATTTATTGATTTCTTAATGGATGTGATTTTTGCCAGGGTGACACTTATTTTGGGATGGAGGAAGTATAATTAATGAGCAATCACCTCCCACAACAAATAACGAGCAACACCCATGAAACTACAAAGCCCTTAACTCATGGATCATGACCAAGATGTTAAATTAGCAGGAGTTAATTAAGATTTAAACAAAACAAAACATTCTGGACATATTGAGTATATAAAGAGGCTTACATCAGTCAACTCAAAAGGCACAAGAACCATCCCACACTCCAAAAAGGAAAACACAGGCAATGTAAAAATTTCCTAGTTGACTTGGATATTGAACCACATTCTGTATTTAGTGATTGAGCCCTTTATGTTCCTTACTACTTCTGTTCTTTGATTAAGGAACCAGATTACATAAAAACATCATCTATAAAAAGAAGAAAATCAACACAAATTATGAGAAAGAAAGGTCAAAAACCATACAGATAACAAATTATGGAAAGGAAGGCAAAAAGATAAACTATACAGAAAATAAAATAAAGAACCTAACAACCATATGGCCAAAATCAGTTGCATCTTCTCCCCAGACTTCTTTTTAGCATTGATATTCTATAATTTTCCTTTATAATCTTTAGGGCTGCTAAGAAGATTCTCATTTTGCTCGAGATCTTTTTCGTTTACTAATGACAGGTGATATAATGTACCAAATTTGCAATTTAAATACAGCCTTTGTTTTTTTTCCAAAATAAAAGCTGCAGTGAATCAGGAAAGATCTGAAGTTGATAGCTCCAATTTGCAGTAAAATGGACACATTATAAACAAACACAATTGCAAGTAGGAGGACAAATACCTAAAAAAGGTGGATTCCGCTTCAGTAGCAACAGCTTTGGCCAAGTAAGACTTCCCTGTCCCAGGAGGACCATAAAGAAGAAAAGCTCTCCACGGTCGTCTCTTGCCTGTAGGAACATAAGAAAGGAGAAAAAAGCACTCAAATTGGTATGAACAAAAGCACCCAAAAAATTACTCAAGTTATGTGATGCACAGTTGCACACATGGATAAACTATTCAACCATCTCTAATGTACCACGAAGAGAAAAAGAACATAATACTCACATGATTTTTGCCTTAAATGATTTTTATCCCACTACAACTCTTTTGGTTGAGCTAGGAGGAGTTGTAACATGAATCGTGGGCCAACTATAAAGAGAAATTCGAAATTGTGGGATTTACTCGGAGATCACCTCTAGTACCAATGCAATTAACCAATCAGTCTCCCAAATATATAATACAATTTTCTCACAACCACGCAGTCACAGGCAAAGAATACCCACCTTCTTTGCCGAACTTCACATTTCAAAACGCACACAGACAAATGCTTAAAAGTTGTAAGGCATTTTGAATGTAGAGAAAATAACTCATCCACAACATCACTAATAATCTAAGAACTCCTACACATGCTCAACAGAAAGCATTTTCATTTTCTACTCATATTCAGTTATCCACAGACTAACCTGGCACTTAGTGTTCCCCAAATTGAAACGGTTTAAAACATTCAATAGGTAAAGGCTCAAACTTACTTCTTTCTATAAGTTAAAAACTATAACTATTGGAACCCATGTAACCCTGACATAAGTGAAAAGCTTTCTAACTAGGAGTCGAAAGTGTTTGGTTTGCAACATAAAACTCTGTATAACTGCCTGTAGTTCCCACTTCCCACTGCATAATAAGCACTATAATCCCTTTAACAACACCTAACATCTTATTGACTTATTTCTACTTCCTTTACCCAAAAGAAATAAGGCATAATACATAAACAATACACTCAAACTTTATCTCACCTAGCAAGTAAGCACTCCAACTTTGAGAGTGCACACCAAGACACCTCGGCTGACTTAGGAGATGTCTAGATGATCATCTTGTAAGTTGGAGTGTTTAACAGACATAGTGGAGACGAGTTGAAGTGTCTAGATGTGCATATGCAAGGTTGGAGAGCTTACTAGCTAGCTAAGACAAAGTTTGCGCCTCTGTTTATGTATTATGCCAAAAAAAAATTGTGTTTAAGCTACTTCATAATCACAAAGCAAACCATCAATTAAAGCAACAATCTTTACTTGCAAAATGCAGCAATAACACAAAAACAATCCAACAAAAGCATACACATACCTGTGAAGAACTGAGGGAATTTCACAGGCAAAATGACAGCTTCCTGCAACGCCTGTTTGGCACTCTCCAATCCAGCAACATCATTCCACTTTACATTAGGTTTCTCTCTAACAATTGCTGAATTAAGCCCAGCCCTAAGTTTAGACTGCTCAGGATCCTCCCCATCTTCACCATCCTTGGGCTTAGTCTTAGGCTTAGCAATCACAGCTGCATCTCCTCCATTTGGACCAGGCCCACTCCCACCCTCATCCAACACAGCCCGAATCTCCTCTGCCCGGCGTAAATACTCTGTAAATTTCTGGGTAATTGCCTCCTTAATCTTAGGATTCTTCTCGTACTTCAAATGGGTCTTAAAGTACTCCAATGCATTCATATACAACGGAAATGCTTTGGCATAGTTTCCACCATTGTCCTCTTGCACTGCTTGCCTTACAAACTCAATTGCTTGCTCCTTAAAATTGCTATACATCTTCAATCATATAGAAAAAAAAACAAGAAAATTTCTGGATTCTGATCGGAACTCAAAAGGGTGTCCGAAAAACCACACAATTAACCAAACAAATTTATGGGTTTTGATCAGAACTCAAAAGGGTGTTCCGAAAAAACACAAAACTATCCAATAAACTTTCTGGGTTTTGCTCAGAACTCAATAGGGTGTTCAGAAAAAAAGCTGATTTTAGAAAAAATCGTATGAACAGTGTCCTAAGTAATGGATCTTTCTGAAGCTTTTGAGCATTTTTTTTGGTGGATTAGGTGAGTTTGACAGTAGATATGAACCCTAGAAATTGGGGATTTTTGGTTAATTCAATGAAAGATTGATTAGAGATCGAAGGTAATAAGGAGATCGGAAAACATTTGAAAGAATCGAAATTTGAGAATTTGAAAGTTGAATTTACAGGGGAGAAATGGATTACAAGTGTGAAAGAATTCAATTTACAGGAGAAATGTTTTGTCATATGCGTGAGATACACGTAGGGCTGCCTATTAATAAGGGTCTGTTTGGATTGACTTTTGGCTTATGACTTGTAAGCCAAAAGCCATAAGTTAGGATTTCTAACTTATAACTTTTGACTTATTTTTGTTATTTTGGCTTTAAAATAAGTGCTTATAAATACTTTTTAACTTTACTCAAATACTTCAAAACTGCTTAAAAGTTATTTTGGCTTAAAAGCACCTAAAATAAGTCGATCCAAACGGGCACTAAGGAAACATATGTTCTTTTATGGTGGAGTTTGAAATGATAGAATGTAACAAATTTTATTCGTACCTCATAAAAGTATAGATAGAGAGTATATAGAGAGATTGTTTCTGATGCATCCTCGACTTAAAACAAAATCATTTACAAATAGATTGAAAAAAGGAGTACAAAAATGAGAACGATAACAAGGATGAAATAATATGAAATAAAGAAGTACAATACCAAAAAAAGTACGAGTAATGACAACAAACAAAAAAGAGTAATAACAACAAAGTAGTGACATAGTTAAAACACAGATGTTTGGACCAACTTAAGTGTACAACAAACTCATTTTTATTGGCAAAATGCACAAATACTTGATCTTGAGATTACGATGTATATCATACATAGGCTGCTCTCATTGTTAAATGATCTTCAAGAATTACAGTCCAACCTCAATTGGGCAAGATGCATCAATCTCATTCTTAAATGAACTTCAAACCTAAATTGGGCAAGGTACAAGCCTAATCCATATTGACCCGAAAAAACCTAATTGACCCTAACAAATCTTACCCTAAACCCATAGTGACTGGCCAAACAAGACCGGCAAAACAAGCCTAACCCTAACCCAAGCGAACAAGCATGGACAAACAAGACTAATCCTAGCCATAATGACTGGCCAAACAAGCCTAACCCTAACCCAAGCGAACAAGCATGGCCAAACAGCCTAACCCTAGCCATTATGATCGGCCGAACAAGCCTTACCCTGACCAATATTGACTGGTCGAACAAGCCTACATTGATTAGCCAAACAGGCCTAAACTTGCCCATATTGACCAACTAACAAGCTCGACGCTAACCTATATTGACCGACCGAACAAGCCTACATATTGACCGGCAAGCCTAACCCTAACCCATATTAACCAACCGAACAAGCCTAATATGTAACAACTCTCTCGGAAGGATGCTACTACTTAACAAGAAAGCTAATATAATACTTGCACATTTAAAAGGGATTAATCTAAGATATATAAATTATAATTCAATAGAGAAATTTAGCCCAAAATAACAAGTGAAAGGTATAAAGGTTTGTCATTTAGAAATTTAGTTGATCTCAAATTTAAACAAGACAAGAGTCCCAATTTATGGCGGAAGAATCTTTCAAAATAATTTTAAAAACATACACTTAGAGATTTTCATGTATTATCTATACTAATACAAGACACGTTATAAATCAACACCAACTTCGGGGTACCGAAGTTTGTTTGGTTCATGCTGTTGACACTCAATTTTGGACCTCCACAATATATATTAATCATCGAGCTTCTTAAATTCCAAACGATTTGAAATAATTAGTTTTAATAAAGTTCAAAATATTTTTCAAGTTACTTTTAATTAATTTTATAATTTTATAATTTTTAAGTAATACATATGTTTTATATAAATTTGTATATAATTAGTATATTTTATAAATATTCAAAAATCATCTAAAAAAAAGAGATTTTGTTTTGTTTGAATATTTTACTAATTAGTTTAGTTATACAATAGTTTATATTTTTGAATTAATTAGTTTATAATTAAGTTAATTATTTTATTTCATTAAGATTAAGAAGCTTGTTAATTTATTTTAGCATCTCGCAATTTGAAATAACTAGGAAGAAGCTAATAATTGGAAATAGTCATTTTTGAAAAGAATGAAAATCTGGAAATTTGTTTAAGTTAGGAAATGTTGAGTTTTGGTCAACTTCAAATGGACATAATTCCTAGCTCATGATGAGTTAGGTGTACTTCCAGATATGGTTGCAAAGCTCTTGGAAGGATCTTTCCAACTCCACTGATTTTGCGCGATTCCGAGTTCGTATGTGTAAGTTATGCCCTTTGGAAGTTGGACTGTTGGATTAAGGAAAGTCTAATCCGGGTTTGGAAAGGTAATTTAGTCTTTCCTTACCTAATGCTCTAATTCATTTTTAGGAGATTTATTGGGGTAAAACCAGATTTTGTTCAGTTTAGAAAAATTAGAATTTTCACGCTAGGGCTTGGAGAAAAGAGAAAAAGAGGAGAAAGGAAAAAAGAAATCAAGAATCACCAAGATCATCGAAGTTTGGCATGTGGAATTCGTGGGGGGTGATCCCTATAAGGTATGTGAGATCACATAGTGTTGGGGTAGTTCACCCACACGCCAATCTTGTTTCAATTCAGCGAATGTAAATTGTTTGAATGCAAAGAAAGTGAGTTCTTGAAGAACATTGTTGAAAATTCGTTGAGTTCTTGATGGTTGTGTTGTTGAAGTCTCTTGTTGATTTGATTCGTGTTTCCGGGTGAATTTTAGAGTCAAATCTGTTATATGTTAAGGGTACTATCGATCCTAAGTGTTTGGGGAAAGAACCATGGAAGTTAGGAGGGTTTAGAGATGAAAAATTGAGAAGAAAATTGTCAAAAAACTTGGGGAAGGGGGTAGGACGTCGCGCCAGTCAGAGCGCCCCAGCAGCCTCTCTGACGTTTGAGGGATGGCGCCCCGCACCTCTTAGAGCGCCAGGGACGCCAATTCTCCCCATTCGTTCCCCACCTTTTAGTACTTGTTCCTTAGCAATGTACCTATATTTTCTGGTTGATTCCAACACTCTAAGATACATCCAAACATCATGAAATCATCCATAAACATGGGATCATGAACCTTGAATCCATAATCCAATTCAAGGAAAGTTAAGATCAAAGTCAAGAGAAGTAAGAGTCAAGTCAAGAAAAGTTCTTAGAGTTTTTTTCCAAATTTGTCTTTTCCAAATGTTTTAACTTTGTTTTAAGACCTAAAGTTCAAGTTGAGTAAAGAGTATAGAGTAAAGATTGAAGTTCATTTCTTCAAAAATATTAGGGGACTAAGTATTCCCAAAGAGTTTATAAATGTTTTCACATTTAAATAAGAATGGAAACTGAGATTTTCAAAGACCCTTCGGGCTAGTTTTCAGAAAAGAGTAATAGTTTTCTAAATGAAGTAAGAAGGGAAACTGAGATTTCCAAGATAGCCTTTGAGCTAAGTTTTTGAGCACTAATCTCAAATCACAGAAGAAGTATGTTTTTAAAACATAAGAGCCAATATATTTTGGGAGTAGTATTGAGCACCGAATTGGGGACGAGCATGAGTTTAGATAACTCACGTCACCATAGAACCATGTAGCCACCATGGGTAGAAAAGGGTCATACTTTTTAGATAAATCTTTTTCTCAATAGACTAGTGGATCCATTAGGCAGTGCAGGTTCTATACCTTTGGCTGGGTATAGGATGTGCTGGCAGTGTGAGGTAGATCGTTGTATCATCACTATAACTCTTATGTGATGGTTGTCGGTTAGAGAAACTCCCACAGAAGTTATTGTATTTTTATATACATCAGTTTATTGTATTTTTACATACATCTCAGAGTCATTTGTATCTTTGCATACACACAGAGTTAATATAATGTTTTTAAACAACTTTTCTTTATATTGCACTTGTTTTAAATTGCTTTATATTGAAATGAGTTCAGTCATGTTAAGTTGAGTTGGACAGGTAAGTTCTTCAGTTTCTTTCAGATTATTTCTAGCCAACCTTTGTTGTTTTAGCATTCCAACTCGCATACTCGTACATTCAATGTACTGATGCCAGTTGACCTGCATCGTATTATGATGCATACACAGGTAACTAGGATCGACATCATTGATCCAGTGAGCAGTTCAGAGTTTATTGGTGAGTCTACATATTTTCCGGAGGATCCATTTCATTGTTGTCTATTTTAGTTCATTAGGATGTTGTGGGGTCTGTCTTAACATCCATCCCAGTTGTTATTAGAGGCTTTGTAGACAGTCAGATGTTAGTCCTTTGAGTCTTTTCATTATCATTCATTTTGTTCAGACTTGGGTTGCCACTTTTGGCCAAGTTGAATGTTTAATCTTTAACATTCTCAGTTATCTTATTATTCAGTTCAGTTAAGTGTTATTGATCATTATAAATATGAATATTGTCTTCCGCTGAGTTAAGTAAGTCAGGCCAAGGGTTCGCTTTGGGGCCAACAATGGTCTTCGAGTGCCAGTCCCGCCTAGGGTGTAGGCTCGGGGAGTGACATTAATTAATAAACAATTCATCTTACTTTAAATTTGGCCGAATTTAACCAATTACACCAATACAATTCATGTGGTTATTTTCTCAATTCAAATTGACCACAATTTGGTCCAAATTGCTACCATCAAATCCAATTCCCCTAGCCCACCATATTTCCTCCTAACTGACCCAATACCCATTAGAAACTCAGCCCACAACAATACAATACTAATTACCCAACAATATAGCAATACCAAAAGAACGACCCGACCCTATATGTTTTATTATTCTTCTTCTTCTTTTTCTTCTTCTTCTTCTTCTTCTTCTTGTGAAAACGAGCCCAAATCTAGACCAGCTCACTCACGCATTGTTTCCCTCTCCTCTCCCTTATCTTTTCCGTACGGGAATAATTTAGGTGTCGAAATCTCGTTGCCTTTTCGTCCTTAGCTCAAGATCAAGCAGCCTTCATCAGTTGTCCGTTGTGAGATTGTACAAGTTTGGTACAATTCGAGCTGGCAGCCTTATCGTCTAAGGAAGAATTCAAATTTTGAATTAAAGCTGGCCTCATATCCCTTCCATTTTCCCCATCTTTTGTACCTTAGTCTCCACAATAAAAACTTTTCTCTATTTCAGTGTTTAGGGGTTGGGGAAAAAAACGTTGGAAAAAGTTGGAACCAGCTAGCTTTAGAGACGAAAATACACCACAAATTTTCAGCTATATATATAAGTG